ATTGAACTGCCCTCTGCCTTCAGGTTTGCTTAATCTGAGCTGCATCACGCATATGATCCCAGATTGGATTCCATGACAGAGTCTTGTCTAGGGTTTTCAGGCTATTAATGTGTCATTCAGATTTGCCTGGAGCACACAGTCCCTGGAAATAGTGACTGGGAAGGCTAGAAAGGTCAATTTAGACCTGTTAGCTGAGATTTCCAGTTATTTTGAAGTCAAAGGGAGCCATTTCAGTAAATGACTTTTTTAGTAGGAAAGTGGCTTGATTAGAGTAAGGCTTCAGGCAGATTGATCTGGTAACACAGTAAGGGGAAAAACTAGAAGAAATTAGACTGGTTAAGAGCCTATTATAAGAGGACCTAAACTGAGGTGGGAATGGAAAGAATGAGACAGCATCCCACCAGCCTAAAGGAAGAACTGGTGACTGAGAAGAAAGCGGGGAGAACTTCACTGAGGTCAGATGGTATGGATTTATTATATAGACACTTTGGACTTGGTGTCAAGATAGTCCAACAGGAATAGGTAACTAATAGGCAAACTAATACATACTACTTCTTAAGTCTTTGTTTGATACCTCTATGCAATTTCAAACTTATTAAAGCCTAGGATCATGACATTCTTCTTATCATCCTTCCACTTCCACTTCCAGCATAGGGTTTAATAAGGACAGAGTTACCGAATCTAAACATTTTTATCCCATCCATATAGCGAATGTTTAGGACCATCACAGGTATTTAAAATGGTTAGTTCTGCCAGCTATCAGTAGGTGGAAACTCTGTTAACTCTTTCTATGTTGTTTTTACATTTCTTTCATTGTAAGATATGAGTAGGGTGACCAGATATCCAGGTTTATGCTGGATAGTCCTAATCTGGACCCCTGTTCTCCCAGTACAATTACTGTTAGTATCTTTCTTCACTCTCAAAAGTTTGTACAGTAAATTCTATGACCGCCCTAGATGTATCTACAGAAAAGTGCTAAATATGTATAGTCAGTTTAAGGACTAACTGTAAAGAACACACGTGTATAACTACCACCCTGATCAAGAAATGGAACACTGCCAGCCACTAGATATCTGTTTCCTAGTCACAACTTCATCTCCCTTCCTTAGAATTAGCCACTATCCTCATGTTTATTGATAACCAGTTCCCTGTTTTTTAGATTAATTAAAACTAAATTGTCAAGGCCTAAAATCTCTACAAGGGTTTCCTTCCAATTATTTCATTCATTATATGTATCTTAAGTGTGGGCAATTTCATATTTATGCTACTAATAGATATCTTTGAAAGTATGTTTGAGCCGGACTTGGTGGCTCAGCCTGTAATCCCACGCTTTGGGAGGCTGAGGTGAGTAGATTACCTGAACCCACAGGTTCGAGACCCGCCTGGGCAACTTGGCGAGACCACATCTCTACAATAAATCAAAAAATTAGCTGGGCGTGGTAGTGCGCGCCTGTAGTTCCAGCTACTTGGAAGACTGAGGCGGAAGGATCACCGGAGCCCAGCAGGTCGAGGCTGCGGTGGCCGGGAGCGGCCACTGCACTCCAGTCTGGGTGACAGAGTGAGACTCCAACTGAAAAAAAAAAGGAAGAAAGTATGCTTGTATTTCGCATTTTAGTATATGACTACAATATAGTATAGCTTGTCAGCCTGAAGATAAGTGTTGCGTTTTTATTATTTATTTATTACACTCAGATTTAACGAACAAATTCTTGGCCTCAAGAATTGGATAATCTAATAATTCCTTCAGTGCAGTAATAAGAAACATGCACAAGATATTGTTAGAGGACTTTACCTAGCCCTTGGGGGAGTGATAGGGAAGTCTTTCTAGAGGAGGTGATGTCTCATTGGAGTACTGAAGACAAGTAGACATTATGTGGGGGAAGGTGGTTTGGGAAGCGAGGACAGAGCACAGAGATCATGTTCCAGACAAATGAAATCCAAAGACAAGAAAAATATGGCACAGTTAGGTTACTGCAAGTTTCTTCCTGCAACTGGAACACAGAGAATGTTCTCTGTGGTCTCTAAGGGAACAAAGGGATGTCTTTTGGGTCAAGGTATTTTGCAGGGCAAACATGACAGATACAATTCAAGGATACATAAAGCTAGATCATGAGGGATCTTGAATGTCAAACTGGGGACTCTCAACATCATGAGGGCAATGAGAAAACTTTGGAGGGTTCTATGCAGAGAGTGAGTCACTAGGCCACATGATCATATTTCTCACTACAAAGTTAGGGAGAGCATGTCAGTCCTAGAGACAGGAAAACTTAGCTGGAGATTGTTGTAGTCATCCACTTGTGAATTGATGGTAACTAGAGCTACTAACCCAGATGAAATGAGAATGGAGAGAAGTGGACAGATTTGAGATAGTGGGAGGCAGAATCAATAAGATTTGAGTGATTGATTATATAAAGAATTTGGGGGAGAGAGAAATAAAAGATGCCTCTCATATTTCATCTGGATGTGGGTGGCACAGACAGTGACACAGATTTGTGGAGAAAGTTTTCAGTACAGTGTTGGATTGGTTGAATTGCAAGTTTGTATGGTACATCCATAAGGAAGTATACATTAAGCAACTGACTTTGTAGCTCTAGAGAGGAATATTAGGGAAAAATGACTTCTATAAGGCAAGTGAAGCCATGCATATGGACCTTACTTAGTTAATTGCAAAATTTCTAAGATAGAAAATGTGAATAAATTGTGTTCATTGTCTAATATCCATGATATTCTTAGAAAATTAGTCTTTTAGTGTTAAGGCTTCTAAAAAATCTTTATATAAAACATTTTCATGATCTGTTTTAGTTCTTAGCAGTTTGTTTTTTGATCAGTATTATTTAGCTTTTAAATTTGCTTCAGCCTGTAATCCCGCACCTTTGGGAGGCTGAGGTGAGTGGATTGCCTGAGCCCGCGGGTTTGAGACCCTCCTGGGCAGGCGAGACCTCATCTCCACAATAAATCAAAAAATTAGCCGGGCATGGTAGTGCGCGCCTGTAATTCTGGCTACTTGGAAGGCTGAGGCGGAAGGATCGCCGGAGCACAGCAGGTCAAGGCTGCGGTGGCCAGGAGCGGCCACTGCACTCCAGTCCGGGCGACAGAGTGAGACTCCAACTCAAACAAACAAACAAACAAAAATTTGTTTGTTATTCACATTATCCACAATATGTGCCAGTTATATAAATAAATACAGCAAAAATGAAGCTATTAGAGAACTTTTGGAATTTAAATGAAGTATATTTATTTATTAGGATTAAGCAAGCAAGGATAAGTGTAAAAGTTCCTAAATTTATATATTTGAGTTTTCCCCGATTCTGGAAATATAGTATACAATATACAATACTATATATCTATAATACAATATGTGTATGCATGTATACCTTCAGAAAAAAGTACATTTAAATAATTTCAACAGCAAATACTTATTATTTATTTTTCCTTATTTTCAGCCTACAGAGATACTTAAAATCTTGTAAATCAAATAATTTATATGAATATATTAAAAATTTCCAAATCTAATTATAGGAATGTACCTATTTTTTTAGTGTGACTTTGATCACAAGACTACCATAATTTTTTGCTGTACAATCCCAGTGTACTTACTAATTTATGACAAGTCATCAAAAAGTTCATGGAAAATGCACATTATGAAAAAACTATGTATGGATTTCAAAAAAATATTTGCACCAAAATAAACTTATACTAACTTGTTATAACATGTCTGAACAGGATCTTTGTTCAAGGCACTAGGAAACATAAGACATAAGTTTGAAAAGAGCTCCTGTCCGAACAACATGAATTCTGCTAAAATTGAAGCGTGAACCAACATCAAATTTATGGTGAAACTTGGGTGGAAGAATGGCGAAATTTTTGATGCTTTACAAAAAGTTTAACGGGACAATGCCCCAAAGAAATGAGCAGTGTACAAATGAGTAATACATTTTATGAAGACTCAAGACAAAGTTGAAGATTAAGCCCATGGCAGCAGACCATCCACATCAATTTGCAAGGAAAAAAAAATGTATCTTGTTGGTACCCTAACTGAAGATTGACAGTTAACAACAGAAACACTAGCCAACACCACAGACTTCTCAACTTGTTCAGCTTACACAATTGTGACTGAAAAACTAAAATTGAGAAAACTTTCTACGTGGGTGCCAAAACCAATGCACTTAGATCAGCTGCAGATAAGATCAGAGTCTTCAGTGGTAATTTTAACCAAGTTAGGATCGAAATCCTGAAGCATTTCTTCAGAGAAATGTAACAGATAGAATATGGCAATGGCTACCAAGATGTGGAAGTGGTCCAGGCAGTCAGAGCAGAGGTCGTGGCAGTAGTTTCTGGGGTGCTCAAGGTATTTTGCTTGTTGACTTTCTGGAAGTCCAAAGAGCAATAACATCTGCTTACTATGAGAGTATTCTGAGAAAGCTAAAGCTTTAGCAGGGATAAAACACCCGGGAAAGCTTCCCCAGAGTGTCCTTCTTCAGCACAACAATGCTCCTGCTCATTCCTCTCATCAATGCTTGCAATTTTGCAAGAATTTTGGTAGAGAACATTAGGCATCCATCCTCTACTCCTGATTTGGCTCCTTCTGACTTTTTGCTTACCTAATCTTAAAAAGTCTTTAAAGAACACCTATTTTTCTTCAGTTAATAATGTAAAACAGACTGCATCGATGTGGTTAAATTCCCAGGACCCTCAGTTCTTTAGGAATGGGCTAAATGGCTCATATTGTTGTCTACAAAAGTGCATTGAACTTGATGGAGCTTATGTTGGGAGATAAAATTTATATTTTTATGCTTTAATTTCTATTTTTTGGCAAATTATTTGAAGTCTCATCTCTGACATAAATTTTCAATATAGTTCTTTTGTATTGTTTTTATTTTGAATGAGCTATAATTATCTTATATCTTATGCTATGTATGCATTTGTATAATTTAATTCTTGATTAACTATGATAATAATTAGGTACAGTATGTAATAGATGATATTTGTTTTCTTTATAGGAAAATGGTTCTCCTGAAGAACATGCAGTCTATGTTTGGGACCATTTTATAGCCCAATCTGCAGCTGAGAATGTATTTTTTGTTGCTCACAGCTATGGAGGACTTGCTTTTGTTGAACTGGTAAGTGCATTTTTAACTCTATTTTTAAATTCCAGTCTTCTTATAGGTTTATCCCTGCTACTCCCTTTTCTTGTTATCATTAAGTTATGTTATAAAAGATGAAGATAAAATATTTTGAGTAAATAATTATATGATGTTTGAGAAGAATAAACTAATTTGTTTAATGATGACAGAGCTTTTCAATGCCAACCAGAAAGCTGTGTTACCTGTTCCTTATTTACTTATTACTTTTAAGTTTCTACATTATAGTGCTAGTTTTTGTACATTTAATGATATTTGTTTCCTGTTTTATCTGTACACTATTGAAGCTTGTTATTTGTAAAGTGTTGAAAATTTCAAGAGACCCTATGAATATTTGAGAATATTTTTATAATTTTTAACTGACTTTTATCTCTACTCATTGGTATTTGATATTTGATCAGAATTTATATAATTTGTATTAAAACTCTCAGAAAGCCTCTCTCCCTTAATCTGCTTCTAACTAGAATACATTGCTTGGCCATAAAAATCTTTTCATTTCAAAATAATCTGACTCATGGAGTTAAGATTATGTGTACATGATAGAAAAAAATCTGAATTTTGTTTGTCTTATATGCAATATTACAAGTATCACAATCTTGAGCCAGTATTATGAATGTGTTATAACCATACTAAAAATGCACTAATGAAGAATTTGTGCCTCCATTTTCATGGCCCCTTGTGTCTCAGGAAAGTACTAATGTGTAATAAAATGACTTATTTTATAAAAATGCAATTAATAATTTTAAATCCAAATAAATCAAAGTGAACATTAAAAGGAGTACAGCATTGTCTAATTTTTATGTTTCCAGACTTTGATGCGTATTTCTCTTTGTCATGTAAATTCAATATATTTCTGTGGCCTTTGCAGCCACCCTGCACTTCTTACCCATGTGATTTATATATAAAATTGGTGGTGATACCTGACACCTGAGAATACTTTAGCTGACTTAAATTTGCAAATGCTTGTACTATCTTAAGATCAATAAATTGTTAAGTTAAATAGTTTATTTCCTAAATTGATTTCAGTTTTTAGGAATTATTGTCAACTACTTTTAACTCTGTTGAATTAATTTATTTATTTTTGATATATATAATAGATATCTTAAGATAGATCCTTAACACTAGTATGATGTACTTTTAAAATATGAATATTGTTTTTCAAATAATTCCTTTCAATCCCTACAGATATAGATATATAGCTATATAGATATATATATCTGTATCTCCATAGATATAGTTATATATAGCTTATTTTTTCTTTGTAAGCTGTTAAATTACTTAAAACATGAAATTTCTTGACTTGTAGAGTGACTTAAAATATGTCTGAAAGTCTGCAAGGCTAATCAAATTTCAGAGTTCTGTAAAGCATACATTCGCATTTTTTTTTTTACTTTAAGACAGTTTATAAAAACCTTTGCACACCAAGCTTGGAATGTAAGTGTATTTTGGACAGTTTTAAAAATGAACTTAAGATGCCAGGGTTAACAGATGACCAGTGTGTCAGTCCTATTTTGCCCGTCCTTCTTGTCACACACTGGTGGATATTTCTCCACTTTTGTTCCACTTTAATATAAAGCACACAGATGTTTCAGAACAAGACTTGACTTCTGACCTTGAGGCTATTAGGGTCAGGGTCCTCAGGGCCTGTGAAATTATCACAAGCTGAGCTAAAGTTTTTCTCCATCACAGGAAGTAACCAGTAAGTAAGAAGTTAAAAAGGAGCTTTGTCAGAGAGACAAGATGGTCTCAGTAAGGGTCAGCTTCTGTAGTCTGCTGTCTCTGCGGGAGGCACACGCATGGGAGGAGGAATATAATATAACCACTGGCACATCACATATCTGTCAGGCAACGGCAGGACTGAGAAGTCTATTTAATGTAATATACGTTGTTTAGGTTTTAAAATATTACTGGTGATTATCTCAACTTCTTATATTTGCTACTTTTTGTGAAATAACTTTGATTGGGATACGTAATGGAAGCATACAGATGGTGACAACTGAAGAAAGAGTGGTTCCTGATGTAATAAACTGAACTCCTCTGAGCAAATAACATTGTACACTGATGAGTTTTACATTAATTTTTTTTTACAAATTTGATTAATATGTTGAAGTCTACTGTGTTTGTTTCAAAAGCCCTTCTAAAATATAGCATTGTTAAAAAAACAATAAACATTGAAATGTTCTTAAACTTTTTGCTTCTGCCTAAAACTGAATAATATTTTTTCATATGCTCATCAATATTCTTAGGAAAAAAGTCATGGTGTTTAAAATGTTGACATTTATTCTATTAGTATTATTTGGCATAGTGTAACACATTAAACTGTTTTACAGGAATTCAAAATTGTGATATTAATTTTACAAGAAAGTAAATTGTGAAGATTAATATATAAATCTTAAATTATGGTTTCTTTTTTTCTCAGTAAGTTAGGAAGTTAAAAAGAGGCTTTGTCAGACTAGTTCTTTTGTACACATTGGACATTGGATTTCAGTAAAGTTTAAATTTTTTTAATTATCATAGAATTTTACTTCTGATTAAAGACTCCACACACACACATACTCACACATTTCTTAAGGAACAGTCTTAGTTTGTAGCATCTTGTTTGCATGAAAATTGTTTATCTACCATTGTCATACAAGTTCACATTCTTCATGTCATGAATTTCAATAAAATTTATTATAAATGTTAACTGTGTAGCAAATACAGTTTTACCAATAAGTACAATTACTTAATAAAGCTTATTGTCTGAATAACAGATACCAGTCAGAACCTATGATGAAATGTATCTTGCAATTTACTGAGTTAAAATTGCATATAATTGTAGTTTAAAATTAAATGTGCTGCTCATAGATATCTGAAGATAAATTACCTTTAAATTTATAGCACAAGATAGTTATAGAACTTTAATATTTTGCTTTGTGTTGTTTTTGAAAACTAAGAACATAATTTATGATTATATCCTATTTTAAAGTGTTGAATTTCTCTGACTGCCTTATAGTCGGAGACTTATTTTCAAAACCAATGTTCATTTTATGGTAGTAAATCTTAGAGCTTGACCAGATCCAACCTCATAAAACACAGTATATACTTTATTATAATAATAAGAAGTGATATTAGAAATATACCTTTCACTGCTTTTGCTCTCATCAGATGGTAACAACTCAAATTTCCAATTCTCTATCTAAACTTTCTATGTTCCTAGTAAAAATAGTTGTCAATCGGTATGGATATTTGCCTTTGTTATTTTTTCTTTATATTTGAAATAATACGAATTTGTGAAGTTCCAGTTAATAAATTTTCATTTACAAAGCCTTAAATTCCTGTCTTAGAAATTTTATTTTACACATGATAGAATTAGTGATCGTAATTAGAATGCATTTACTAAAATCATTTGGTAAGACATCTACAAATAATGTAACTTTTTCCTTATGTTAGTTGTTAAAAATTCAGGCTCATTTTTGAAAATTAACTACTATTTTAAAACAATGCAGTTTTTAAATCTTTTTCATAATCTCTTTCTCCAGCCACTTTGATGAAGTGATTCCTTTGCTTCCACTGTTGGCCATTTCAGAGCATTTTGGTCTTGTCTTTCCAGGTGACCAATCTGGCAAAATCAAGTATCTTTAATTTTTTTTTTTTTTTAAATGAACAGCTTTCCTTGTCAATGCCCAGTTTCCGATCCCAGCTCACCTTACCTTATCTGTTTGCGGTGCTCAGTAAATCAGTTTGCATTGGGATTTCTTCCAAAATGAGAGTGTTCACATTTTTTATAAAACAGGTTAAGAAAATTTAGTAAGCATATTTCATGAGTATTGAATTATTTCAGCTGATATAAAATTAGTCTTTTTCTTATTACTTTTATTTCTTTTCCCATGTTATTAGTGCTATGTTCACAATCACGATTAAAAACATCACTTAGAAATGTGTGAAAACAGTTCCTTTTGAAACTGTATCCCTACCCACTTTTGATTTTGGTTTCTCCATGCTTGTCAGCACTTGATTGGCACCTCACTTGCATGTGAATTAAGGAATGAAGGGAACTCTATTTTCCTGCCATTGTTCCATGCTGGGCTCCCTGGCCTCCAGGCAGCCTAAGCTGCCCTTCAGCAGCTGATAGAGGACTTGTTTCTGGACATAGCTGCATGAGGACACTCAACCTCAGCCTACTAGATCTTTTTAAATTGCCTGGAGCATGATTAGGATTTACACTGAAGAGAAAATACAACTAAAATAATTAGTTTTTACCTTTAGTGACATCAGCTAACTATGACTTTAAAGAAGTACCATTTACATTTTGTCCACAAAGTACAAATTCAATTGGCAATTGGTAGTGTACCTGCTTAATGTGATCAACGGGAATAGCTAAAAATTGGGCTGCTGGGAATGGAGAATTGCGGGGAGGTAAACTAAGGGAGGTGAAAAAAGAAAACCTGAGTCATAATGCTTTCACATAACTCAGGCCGAAAGTACTCTTATAAACCTACTTAAAAATCTAGGTGATTCAGTAAAAATAAGTTGCCATTTGTAGTATAACTTCAAAATACACAATTAGTTTTGTTTTAAAGTTATTTTTTATCTCTAAGTCTTGTTTTGACCAAGTGATCTAGATAGACCTTAAGGATAAAGAGTCTAATATTGCACGTATCCATCCCTCCACTCAAGTTTGAAAACATTATCCATTACAACATGAGTATTCTTAAATATTGGCATAGTTGGTTGACCAGTTTCCAATATATAGAGTTGAAGCCTTAACAATAACTCTTTTGCTAACTAAGTCTACTAATTCTCCCTACTCTCCATTTAGGTGTTGACTGACTTGAGAATTCTACCTCATCAGTTCCTCCACATTAGGCAGTTTGCTACCCATTCCATTCTGGTGTAAGTCTCCTACAGTCTCCTTGTTGTTGGCACCCCCAGCTCTTGGTCTAACTGAAAAGATTGCTTCTTTATGACTCACTCTTCTAAGTATAGGCTCTTCAGTA